ACTAGTACACATAACAGTCTGAAAAAATAATCTAGGATGCCTTATAATTAGTAAATCTAGAAAACCATGGAATTTGTAAAGTTGCTAAGTTTATTTCTAATTTATTCATTTAAAAAAACCATACTTTCCAATATTTTTTCTAGAAATATTATTGATAAATATAAAGTTTCATTTTCCTAAATTTATATGCAAGTATTCATTAGAAAATTTTAAAATAATGTTTAGTTTCCTACACTAGAATTTTTTCCTAAGTTTTTCAAAAAAATAACCTATTTTATCCATTTTATCTTCAGATTACTAAACTTAAAATTTTCTAGTGTATTTTTTTGCATTTTCCTTGATTTTATTGATTTTCTCCCATTTTTTCTATTGACTTTGTTGCAACTCATGGGAAACTGCCTTTATGTCACGCCAAAACCACTTTCAGTGTGCCAAAATCAAAATTGGATAGTTTTGTCAGTTGACGGACCAAAAATCTTTGGCAGTATAAAAGTTCAAAGACTATGCTTAAACTTTAGTGATAGTCAACAGACAAAGACATGTCTTTTCTCCATGGGGATTTGTTTTAGAGTGATTCTCATTGGGGAAATGTGACGGTGACCTTGAAAGACAAAAATAACTCGAGATAACTACTGGGCCGGGTCCAGTGGGTCTTAAAGGACCCATGCCTTTTTTCAGCTCAGCCCGGCCCTCTCGCGTATAGTTTTCAGCCCATCTGGCTATCCCTTCAATCCATCGTTCCATTCCAGCATTCCACCACCAAAATGTCGTTCGCTCAAAAAAAAAAAAAGCCGGCGAGGTTGGCCGGGAATCGGCGCCGGCGCGCTCCGGCTCTCTTCCAGGGCGCAGTGGGCTTGCCTCCCCGCCCGACGCAACGGCGAGTCCGTCGCTGCTGCTCAGATTTTAAGCTTCAAAGACAGTAGAGTGGCCCCAGTGCGCCACCGGTGTTCTGCAACGGAGGTATGCTCTCTTCACATGGCAGTGGTGCGGATTGGCTCCATCGAGCACAAATATATCGGC